GGTAAGCGCTTAATCCTAAAACTGTTCTTGAAAAATGCAGCCTTTTATCCCATTTAAAGAGTAACTACAACAACAAACTGCTTTATGTTTTCTTCCCAAACCATGTAAGCATATCTTGAACTGTCTGCATTATGGGAAAACTCTCAAACCTACATTAGAAAGCCATATAAGTAACTCCCCTGCACTTAAACAATGAAAAAAATCGTTATCTACAGTGCTTCATAAACGTAATGTACTCATCCCGGAGAAGTTACTTCTGGAGTATTTGTTTACCTTGTTTGGGCAAAATAACTAGTTTTGATTTTAAGGTCTAGTCGGCATCCAAATGGTAAAACAAAAAGGAGTAGGGTTCTGAGGAGAACAAGAGAAGGCAAAAAAGACTTGTAGATTTTGGGGTGTTTTTCCTTCTGTGATTATCTTTCATTTTAGGGTCTACTTCTCCCACTTGTGGAGTTCACTTTTCTATTTCAAGAATAAAACTGGGCGCAAGTGCGCAACTGTGCAAGAGAGGTGAACAAAAGAGAATATTTGTCTCCAACCGTGGAGTATTGGAGTAGGGGAAAATGGTGCTTTATGTATATTAGGACTACTCCTGTTAGAATTAAAGTCCTATTTATACCGTTCTTCAGCTGTCTACTTGTAGTATAACTTGTTCTCTCCTCTTATATATATATATATATATATATATATATATATATATATATATATATATATATATATATATATATGCATCCTGTACCTATACGGAACATATACATTCAATACAAATATTTCCCTTCTCTTTATTCTCATCTGGTTTCAGTTGCCTAATAGGGTCCTTTAGCTTGGTGGTCACATCATTCTCTTAAGGAATTTAAGTTACTGCCACTTCTAGGATTTTAAAAAGTTGAGTTTGGCTTTACTGTCTAATTTTGTTTTTTACCCTTAACCAGAAATAGAACATTTCTCCTCATATCCCTGCAATGAAAATAATCTTCACAAGGATGTGACCACTTTGAGGGATTTGGTTTTGTGTGAGGTTGAGTCTTCAGCTTTATACTTTTGCCTCTTGTTATGCAGTCACTGTCCAAACAAAATGTGATTTAAAATTGTTAAAACTATGGGTTTGAAGGTCCTGTGGGTGGCAAATAACCACCATCTCTGTAGAAACGAGAAGCTAATATATGGAAGCCAGTGAAGGGAGAAGAGGGTAACGTTGTAATATTATCTCTTGTTGTTGAATCCGTGAGAGTACATATATTTGTATTTATAGAGATGAAACCAGTCCTTAATCTACTTTATCTAGCTAGACGTGAAGTCATGAACACTCTAATGGGATGGTTGGAAGACTGTTGAATTCTCATTTTACAGATCTTTCATATATTCAATAAAAATGGTAACTTTGTCAAAAAGTACCCAGAACCTGAATATTGCAACTATGATTTACATGATGTCACATACTTGAAATGTGACATCTAAAACATTAATCTTTCTCTGCCAAATCCACCATTCACTGGAACTCCCTGTCCACTGTTCAAGTTAGACAACGAGGAAACCTATTAGTTCAATAATATGTTAGTGAGGATTAGCTTGTTGCTGCCTGATATAAAGGAAGCCGGTGAAATGGAGATCATTCTGTTTGTGGAGCCTCTGATGATCTTTTTTGGTTCTGATTGTTAATGCCACGGGTTTAATAAGAGAACAATGTCGAGAAAGCTCGGGAGGCTTTGAAGGAGATTTGATCCAACTGTGAAATTGTGACTTCTGAGGCAATGCAATTTCCAGCGGGTTGTGATGGAGCGTGCTCCAAGAGACTATTGAGTTGAAAGAAATTGCAGCGTTTAAGTGGCAGCTAATTTGGGTTGCCTAGGGAGTTCTGGGTGTTGGGAGGGTAAGACCAACAGAGATTCAAGTCTTTACTCTTTAGACATGGTGAAAATATATTTGAAATTGCCTCAACAATAGTGGAGAGTAATAGGATTGATGATAACTAATGGTCAATGTTAAGAGTTCCACAATTGAAAAATAAGAGAGAACATATGGGTTTATAAGACCATAGGTTAGACTAGTTAATTGATTGGATTCAGTTTTTGTTTGGCCCTGTGCATTATAGCTCAGTTGAGTGACCTTTGCCCAGTATTAGAATTTAGTAACGATTAATAACTTTGGGACAGCAGAATAACAGATTCTATTTGTCAACACCATTTACTCATGCTGATTATGTTAATGTTTTCCTTTCAATCATTAATATGAACTTGTTATTGTCAAAAGTGAAATAGTAATTTCTTTATCGTTAATTTCTTTTTTTGCTCTGCCAATATGTGATTGAAAAAATTTCAGACTAAGCAAGGTATTAAATTGAGCAGAGCAGAAAGTACAAGTCTAAACGAAAGATCATTGATATCCAATTTTCACTGGCTTTTTTCGGATTTTATACAGTTAATGCATCATTAAACATCTTGTAGGTGTATTATACATGTGTAATTGCATATGAATGATTTGTTTCATTTTGAGCCTACCTTGAGGCTTGATCCCATGTTAAGGATTTATGCTTTCATACTAAGGTTTTGTGTGAGGTTAAAGAATGTCTCTATTCTCCTGCTGGAGTTCAAAATCTCAGAAATGGCAGATATTTATGATTTATCCTTATGTTTAAAATGTATTCTCGAGCAGGTTGTTCCTTCTTGGTTTGGATAAATATGGGAAAGGTGATTGGAGGAGTATCTCCCGGAACTTTGTTGTGACGAGAACTCCTACACAAGTTGCGAGCCATGCCCAAAAATACTTTATCCGTTTAAACTCCATGAACAAGGATAGGAGACGGTCCAGCATTCATGACATAACTAGCGTCAACAGTGGAGATGTTTCCACGCCACAGGGACCAATTACGGGCCAAACTAATGGCACTACTGCTGCAGGGAGCTCTTCTGGAAAATCAAACAAACAACCTGCTGCTCATCCCGGTGTTGGTGTATATGGGCCGACAACCATCGGACAACCTGTGGGGGGACCACTCGTTTCTGCAGTTGGTACGCCTGTGAATCTTCCACCTCCCGCTCACATGGCTTATGGCGTTCGACCTCCCATTCCTGGACAGGCGCTCCCCGGAGTTCCTGGTACCTATCCTATGCCTCATAGGTAAACTATTGTTTAAACAGGAAAATATAATGTACAAAGAACACAAGTATAGAGCTAGCTTTTGCTTATTTGGGGGTATGTCTGTTCTCATCAACTTGAGCCAGAATAGGATGTTAACGTCACAGAAAGATTCCTTGTGCGCACCGGCAATTTGGCCGCATCTGCTGAGCCACTGAGCTACCGTGATTTATATTCTCCCAAATGTTCTATCAGGCCGGGGTGTTGGAGACCCTTGGGGTTGAGGATTCAACCTTTTTGGGGCAAGAAAGACCATCTTATTAGTCGCTCGTATTCCATTTATCTTTTGATATATTAATAAATCGCTAGGAAAGATTGTATAGGCAGTAGTAGTGATCGATGATTCGACGTTGGTGGTCTTATTTTAGGAGGAAATTTCTAATCTTTTAGGCATCTTCATAAAGGTTACTAGTTCTAAAGGTGGCAAAGATGAAGTAGAGCTATTCAGTTTAAGTTGTAAAGAACGTTTAATCTCTTCGGTCAAAGTATCTCGGAGGTTCCTGTAAGTAGATCATCGTCCTATTTGTCAACTTATGCATGACTTAGTTTTCCATATGATAAATATCTTTCCTGTTGCATTTGTATTACTAATCCACATTGGGAGAAAAAGGCATTTGTATATGAGCAATTTGTTGATAATGCATACTCATCTAATAGGGAGGGGAGGAAGTGAGATTCAAATACAGACTAAATTGAATATCCATTTAGGGATTTACTATCTATGTTGCTATGCTATGTAGTTAGGTAGCACGAAAATGGTTATGCCATAATAATACTAGGACCAAATGATAATATTTTGATAAAAAAGAATTTAAAATGGTCAGTCACCTATAAATTTATGATAAAATATAGAATTAACTTATTGAATATCCATTTAGGGATTTACTGTCTATGTTGCTATGCCATGTAGCTAGGTAGCACGGAAATGGGGTGAGCATTGAGCAACAGGAAAAGTGACGGAGGAAATTTAAATTTTAAAAAAATGTAAAACACTAAATGCAGATGGAATGTACACATTTATAAAATATAAGGATATATTTGTAAATATTTTTTCTTTAAATACATTTGAATGCTAATTCTCTATTAATTTCATTTTTAAAAGTAATACATATTGTGGCATATACATGGTACTAGTTATAACCCGCGGATTGCGTGATTTAATTAATCTCCAACGCAAAAATTAAAATAAGTAAATATTTAGTATAAATTTTAAATATTAAATAAATAATATAAAATATGGAAAATGGCTATTTTACTCTCTTAATTATATTAGAATAGCCAATTCAGCCCTTTAATTATATATGTGACTCTATTTACTCCAACACCTCAAATAGCGGTTAAAATTAATAGTGATGGAAGGGTAAATATGTAAGTTCATCAGTTTCTGTTTCCTTCCAAAGAACACAACAAATAAGTGAAAAACAGATTTTAAGTCAAAAGCATAAGATAGTAACTTTGTTTTCTCAAATAATCTTATAATAAATAAATGTTTTCAAAATGATTAATAATTAAGGTCAGGAAGCTAAGAAAAGACAAGTAATAACTTGAAAAATGCAATTTTTTAGGTCAAAGAAAATTTTGATTCCCTACAACCAAATGTGTACATCCTACTTACTATACATTTGTAAGGGTGTGCATTCGGTTAATCGGTTGGTAAACCGAACCAAATTAACTGAAATTTTAAAATTTTAATTGTTAACCAAATCGAGATTAACTGTTATAAGTTGATCTACTATGTATGAGACAAAAGTTCTATCTATTTTAATAATTTAAATGCAGACATTTGAATTAAAGCAAATAGATTTGGAATATTACTACATCAAATAATGTTTGATTTAAGTAAAGAGAAGATAATGTATTTTTAGAATAATTATAGAGTGACATTCATATTCTTTTAAGATAGAGATTCACACATATAGAATGTTTGATCAATTTTCTAATTAGCTAAAGGAGTGACAACTTTCTAATTTTTTAATTTTCATTCTCTGTTTTCTATTTAGAAAACTTGTTTACCAACACTTATTTTTTTAAATTTATTTTTTTTAGATTAAGGGAAAATGGCGAGTTTGGTCCCTGAGTTATAACCGTAGTGACGACTCAGTCCTTGTGTTATTACCGTCTTCATTTTTAGTCCCTCGGTTATAAGAGAAGTGACGACTTTGGTCCCTGGCGCTACTGGTGTGTTGACAAAGTTAATTTCAGGGGTAAAGAAGTAAATTCCTTAATAAAACTTGCATGTAATATAACTTGTTTCCCCCCGTTTTCCCCTTTTACAAACTTAGCCAAAATACTTTCTCCACAATTCGACAAAAGTCCTAAGTTGCTTATGTAATCAGCGAAGAAACCGTACTCCCATTTTTTCTGAGAAATCAAATTTCAATATTTCAATTCTATTTATAAAAAAAAAAAAAAACAACTTAAATTACAAATCTTGACAAATACAAAAATTTACTCCATAACATGGACAAGCTTGGTATCTTTTCCCTCGATTAGCATAACTCCATGACATTTTGATAGGTAATAAATCATCACATTTACATCGAAAATTATCCCCAAATTTTGAGAAAGATGAAGTACCACAACTAAGAGATGATGACATTCTATAATTAATGGCTAAATTAGTTCATCAATACGGAGAATATTATTGATTATTTATTTAAACATATAAAATAGAGAAACAACTTACCTATGAATTTCGCAGCTTCGAAGTGAACAAATTTGAGATTTCAGAGCTTGGGAAGAAAAATACCTTCAATTGTAGGTATAAGAAGAAAAGAATGACTATTGCGCAATGGATGAGTTTCATATAAGAAGGGGATTATAATTTGAAATTTCTATTTTGACCGTCTATTATTAAATTGTTTTTAAGTTTTCCGTTAGCTACAGACGGAGTATTAACAATGGGGACGGAATGTTAACAATGGAGATCAAACTCGCCACTTCGCTCATAACTGAGTGACTAAACTCGGATACAGTCATAACTTTTAGGGACTGAGTCGGAACTTGATTATAAGACAGAGGCTAAAGATGCAATTTCCCCTTAGATTAATGCTATAAAATTAACACAAGGTGGTATCTGATCTGTTCTATACTTTCTCAAACATTTTCACCCCCAAAGAACCTAAACCCCCACCATCGGGGTTCAAACCTATAACCATCCAATCCAATTGAAATGGTAATCGTGATGCCGTCACACTACAAGGTAGTTGGCAACACAAGTTTAATTTTGAATGATTTTTAGACTTTATATTCAAAATATTTTAAAATATATTTGGTTTAAATAGAATAAATATAATTTTTTACTTTTACGTCCAATATATGTAAGATTTTTACATTTGATCCCCGAACCAAATTTATATCTGTATATAACTTAACTATAAATATATCCGAACCAATAACCTATTAAGTTCACCTAAAATTTTGTTTGGATAATATTAATATTTTTTGAGCTAATATTTAAAATATTTTTGAATATATTCATTTAAATGACATGCATATAAATATATATAAATTTTTACTTTGATATATATATATATATATATATATATATATATATATATATATATATATATATATATATATATATATGAAATTTCAATATCCGATATCCGGACCAAACTTGTATTACGATATAACATAACTAAAAATATGTGAACCAATAATCAATTAAGTTCACTCAAAACATAAAACTTGGTATAAAGTTCATTTTTAAAATTTTGATAATGTGAGTAATGCTCAACTTTAAGTATAAGCAAATAAGTTATGTTTAAATAAGTAATGCAAGTAGAAAATATAGAAGATGGTGATAAGTAAAAGAAGATGAAATGAATGCATGTAATCATAGTACTGAATAAATATGTAAGTCGATAATGGTGAGAATGTCGTTATAGTGACATATTGTCAAATAGATGATAGATGATTATGTTTTCCATTTAGAAAACAGTTTTAAATAGTTTTCCAGTTTTCTAGAAAATTGGAAAATTATTTCATGTTTTCAAAATGGACTTTGCTATTAAACATGTTTTCTGTTTTCTGTTTTCTGTTCTCAAATTTTTTAGAAAATTGGAGAAATTTTTCAGTTAGTTACGTACCTCAAGTGTTTGATGAAATGCCTCTTAGACATTATTGAATCATGAAAATGCCCTTGAATATAATGTTCTAGGAGTGTGTGATGACCTTGAGAAAGGCTTCCATATTGTTATATGACATCTATCATCTAGTCGATTGACTCGTCGTCTTGCTCCCTATTTGGTTTCACTATCATGACCTACCTTTAGTTCCTATAATTTTGGCTAGATTTCGATGAGGAATTAGTATCTTATGCTTGGAACTCTAAAGCTCTACTCTTATTGTCAATCCTTTTGAGAATGATATTCAGTGTAAGGATACCTATTACACATCTACTCACCCAAAAATCTACTTCATTATAATGCTTTTGGAGTTGAAGAACCTTAAAATAGCAGGAGGCTGGGAAGTGAAAAATAATAATATTGCAAAAGTGGTTTCAATATTGTAAGAAGGGAAAATGGCACTTCTTCCCCCTAAGTTATATACTTATAGCACTTTCTCCCCCTGAATTATTCAAGTGGCTGTTTTTCCCCCTGAAATGTTAAATGGACATATTTACCCTTAAAATAAATATTTAAAATAAATATTTCATTTATTTTCCTTCCCAACAAATTATGACAATAATTTGGTTCAAACCAAACAAACACTATAGCAACCAAACTGAAACAATCCAATTACAATTTAGAATCGAAACTCGATATTTAGAGTTTATTAAAATCGCGAACCGGAACGGACGATTCATGTTCCAAACTGAAAAAATAGAATACATTTATTGTTGAATTTAGACTATTTAAAATAAAAAATAAAATTTTAAAATAAAGACGGTTCAAAATCGCGAACTGGATCCAGAACCGCCGGTTCACGGTTCAAGACCCAATTTTTTTTATTCATACTTTTAATAAATTGAAATCCAAATATTAGGTTCTAGATCTGAATCATAACCGGAAACTTTTAATTCAATTGCTATAGTGTCCGGTTCAGTTTGATCTGAACCGTTGTCATCCCTACGTATACGCGATAATTGTTGGAGAAGTAAAATAAATAAAATGTTTACTTTAAGAGTAGAAATGTCAATTTAATATATCAGGGGGAAAAGCCACAACTTTTAAAATAATTGAGGGGGCTAATGTGCCTACCTAAATAATTGAGGGGGAAAAATGACTATAAGTATATAACTCAGGGGGAAAAAGTGCCATTTTCCCTTGTAAGAAGGAGAATAAGATGCAAATTTTCTATTTTACCCCTGCAATAATAGAGGGTTTTTGAGTTTTTCGTCAGGTTGAGACAGAAACCTAATGTTGGGAGACTAAATCCGGCACTTCACTCATAACTGAGGGGTAAAAAATGGGTACGACGTACTGTTATAATTGAGGTATTATTGTTGGAAAAAATAGCTTAAAATGACATATTAAGTGGCTATTTTGTGGTACAATTATTAGTGGGTTCCACTTCCGATTTGGGTCGGTTCAAAGTGAATTCGGGTTCTTCATAGTGAGACGAAGAGATTGATATATTGTACGCTCAAAACGGATAATGGGTGAATGAGAAGTTGATTCTCAAATTAGACCCATTTGAGTTGGAAAAATGAAGGGAAAAAGAATGAGCTTTTGTCCCACATTGATTTGGGAAGTGGGTTAGTTTGCACCAATATTTATACAAGAGTCTTTTTAAGCTTATTGAATTGTATAACGTAGATGTTTTCTTTTGCGCGTAGGGGATGGTGCAAATTGGGTTTTAAATGCCTTATAAAAAGCTATTGATATCCTCAACTCCTATATAAGAAGTAGTTGATTTTAAAAGAACAACAACAAGCATACATGCACGTTTTCAGCTCCAAAACACTCTGGTTATTGATATCCTCAACTCCTATATAAGTAGTTGATTTTAAAAGAACAACAACAAGCATACATGCACGTTTTCAGCTCCAAAACACTCTGCTTCTACTCATTTTCTTAGCCTACTGTGTTCTAAGCTTTGCTATAGTTCGCCGAGTTCAAAGTTTGGGTGCTCAAATGTCAAAACCGTAGCACGTTTTATCCTGGGAAACCTAGGCTACAACGCTCCTAGCACTTGTGAGAGGTAGCAAATAAAGTTTTAAGGAAAGAGTAATTCGCTAAACTCGTGCTAACCACCTACACCAACCCGAGCCATATCCCTTCGCCCTTTCCAAAATTTTCATAAAATAATAATCATTTTCGTAGGATTATTATTGAGTTTTACCAACCAAATATCCAACAATTATTGAGTCATGAATATAATATGGGTATAACTCATCAGGAACAAAATTAAATATGCCATTTTTCCCTATTTTATATGCATGTTGATGTTGACGATAGCTAGAATTGCAAACCAAAGAATATAATCATTTGTCATGTACAAAATAATAGAAAAGTTACAACCACAAACCCAACGAGTTTAATCGGATAAATGTAAACAACAACAATAACAACAGTACAGTGTACAATGCTGATGAACTCGATCAGGACAAAGTAAATATTTTAGGGATTGTAATAGCGAGAGGGAGAAGGGTTATTATCGGTCACAGAGTCGTTATTTAGACGAACTGCCAAAATCAACAAGGGGACAGCGATCAAGAGAGTAGAAAACACTTTCCATACACAGTAGTAATAGTTTCCTGTTTCGCTCAAACTGGGCCAGTTATTATAGCGAGAATAATGCTCATCCACATCCTTGTACACTGATGCAAAATAGAAGTTGGTGGAAGTATCTACCTCAGCACTAAGGTTGTTGAAAATATAGGCCACCTTCCTATCTTCACCTAAGAGGTTTTGAATGATTCCATTCTTTCGGAGCAAACTCACGTCTCTATTGGTGTCCAATAAGTGGTCCATCAACCTCGCATAATCGGTGAAGTATTTGGGGTTTAGTCTCTCACAGCGTTGCTCCATGGCGATCATGTTTCGAAAGAATAGTTCAGTGAAGTTGTCCACTTTAAAAGAAGGTATGCTCATTACCCCATTACGAAAGGTTATATCGAACAAGCTAATGGCACCGCTATATTCGGGTGATGGAAGTTTTCCATATTTCTTTGGCATATTGAAGACTTGCCCAATCTTGTCAAACCTAACTCCAACCTCTTTAAGCTCTGTGGCACTGTTCATATGGTTTAATTTTAGCCACATATTTTCTTCTTTCCCTTCTGCGGCCTGGGAAATTAGGGTTTCCGCTTTGCTCGGAAGACAAAGAGTGTAGACAACATGGAGTAGATCCATGGGTTGTTGAGGTTTATCGTCATCATGAAAGTTATTAATGGTAAACTTTGGTGCTAAAGAGGCAAAAGCGAACTTCACCAGTCTTACGAAACTAGGAACTTCTTCACTATCACCAGTAGTCATTTTCTTATAAATGGCAGAAAGGATATCGAAAGGGAGTTGATTCTCGAACAGAAGCATGTCTTCACGAGCTTTCTTCCCTTCAACGCTACGGCGGGGATCACCATTGCCGCCTTCCTTGCATTTCAGAACAAAATCCACCACAAAGCAACCATCAAGAACCAACATTTCTACCAACTCTTCATCATTATGGGGGCAGGTAATTCCAATTTCCTTGTAATAATTTCGGGCTTTGTCCATCAATTTCATATCTGGATTCCTAAGGTATTCCCGATACTCTTCTTCTTCAGCTTGTTCTGTTGCCCTTTCGAGAAAAGACTTCATATACATAGTCTTGTATTCCTTGTCCTTAACTTCATTAACCTCTTTAGAGTACTTGGGCCCAATGGATACCAAAGATGGTTTATAAGGCTTACGATCCTATGATAACACCCCCAAGAGAAAATTAATAATCAATCTCAACTTTACATTTGTAAAAATCAAACGAATCAGATCAGATTTAAAAAAAAAAAAATGCAATGGAATTTTCATAATTATCTTCAACTTCACTTTGCAAATTTGAACACTTGAATTTGCAACATGTAACAACTAAATATGTAAACATGGATAAATTATTTTTTTAAAAAAAAATAAATGAAAAAGCTAAATTTTAAATCTATCCCGTAAATGCTAAACCTTAAGCAGTAAAAAGTGACACCAGTAAACCAAATAAAATAAAAAACTTTGTCATAAATTCTAAACTTGAAACCCTAAGTGCAATGCACTTTCGCTTTTTGCAAGTTTAATTTTTAATACTAAATGTGTAATATGTTAATACTAAATGTGCAAACTTGAAAAATTCTGGGAAGTGTAGATTTTAATGATAAGTTTGCATTATAAAGTTGATGATGATTATGAAAAATGTCACTGCATTTTTTTAAATTTGATTTGATTCGTCCTATTTTTCTAGTTGTAAGGTTGAGAAAGAAAAGTACGGAGTAATACATATATAAAATATCATTCTAAAAATAGCTATCTAGAAGAGGCATGGTTTAGGTACTTTGGAAAGACTCATTGATTGAAAGTATAAACAGTACGCTTTTATGTAACTTTTATTTGTGAAAATAATGCAATATTACCGAAATGTAAATCTAGATGTCCTCGAAGAAAAGATTCAGAATGCAAACCTTTCCATTATCAATACCTCTGTTGTTCAGCCGATCATTTATAATGTCCACAACAACGTCATCATTTCGCTCTTCCTGCTCCTGTTCATGCAAGTGATATATTATTGTAAAAGATCATAGTTCATTAATGGAATAAGGTTCAAATTGGTCACTGAACGTAACCTGAAAATGCAATTAGTTCACTGAATCAAAAAAAAAAAGTGCAATTAGACTACTGAACACTCCAAAAACGTGCAATTATGTCACTGAACTCTCCAAATGTATGCAATTTCACCGGATAGCAGGTTACCATCAATTTTAGCAGGTTACCTGCTTACGTGGCAGCTGAGTCGACTTTTTAAATAATTTTAATAAATTTTAATAATAATTTTTTTAAAAAAAATAAATAAAAAAATAAACGACGGGGTGGTCGCCGGCCACCCCGTCTTTTTTATTTATTTTTTTTTTAAAAATTATTATTAAAATTTATTAAAAGTTATTTATAAATTATTAAAAATGCCAACTCAGCTGCCATGTAAGCAGGTAATCTGCAAAAATTGATGGTAACTTGCTATTAGGTGAAATTGCATGTTTTTCGAGTGTTCAGTAGCCTAATTGTACTTTTTTTTCGTTCAGTGGCCTAATTACATTTTCAGGTTACGTTCAGTGACCAATTTGAACCTTATTCATTCATTAATTGTAGTGTGTGCAATAGTATGAATTGCAAATTTGCCCTCAATTTTTTTTTTTTTTTTTTTTTTTTGTCTTACTCCATATTTGACTATTAGCAGTTAATTTGACCAGCCAATAGTATAACATGTAAAATGATATTCAAGGATATAAGCATAATTTATAATAACACTATATTAATTATATAATAATTACTGTTAGAAATAATTTTCTTTAGTTTTTGATGATGTTATTATGTGTAAAATTAAAGATTTAGAATCTCTAAATAAAGTTTCTATTGCATGTATCAAGTTCAATAGGACAACTTCTAATTAAGGTAAAAATAGAATTAAACGTGGTAAAATCACTATACTTGGGACCCTTCCATATTTATTTTCTATTATTGTTATCATATCTTCTTTCAAAAGGCTGAACCCCAACCCTAAGGGCCCCCCACACCCGTGCTCACTGCGCTTAAGGAATCCCCCTCACTGCCGCTGGTGAGACTAAACGATCCCTGATCATTCTTACAAAGTTTCACCTCTGCGATCAGTTGATCATTCTTACAAAGTTTCACCTCTGTAATTGTTATCATTTCTTATATACACTAGTGCCTGTAGTGTTAACCCGCCAATTAAATAGCCCAATAATCGTAAAACTAACAACAACAGCAATAATAGTAAGAGTAATAATAATAACAATTTTCGCTTCTTGGCAGGTGCTAAAAAGAGTGGGAGTCATTTGCCAAAGTGTTAGAGAATTATTAGGGGGGTGGGGGTAGATTGACGCATAAAATAGAAAAGAAAATTAGAGAAAATTGTATTTTTCGTTCCTAAATTATGCGATAATCGTATAGTCCGTCCCTAATTGTTGATTATGCTTACTTTTTTATCCTTAAGCTATTATCGGTGATAAGCTTTTCGTCCATTTACTAACAAAATATTAGAGACTAAATTTGTAATTTTAGTATAACTTAGAGACGAAAAGTGAATACTAAAGGTTAATAAAAAGACGAAAAGTGAAACACCAATGATAGCTTAGTGGTGAAAAGTGAGCACGATCAAAATTTAGTGACAAATTTTATAATTACCTTATAATTTAGGAACGAAAAGTGTAATTTTTTCAAAATGTATTAATCACTCAAATGAATAAGTTTCTTTTATTTTAAAATCAAATAAAAACGAACATTGAAGCAATCCTGGTAGGCAATTAGGCATGGTATATATGTAATTGTAAAGTAGATTTCATACCTTTCCAGTGTCACTCTGTCCAAAATTAGGGGCCGGTAGGTCGACACTTATGGATAGGTCAAAAGACTCATCTGCCATCCCACCTTTAAACCCGAAAAATAACAAAAAAAAATAATAGACAAAAATGCTCTTATTAAAAATAGAAAAAAATCACGAGGACTAAAAGTGTTTAAAAATAATAATCTGAGAAGTTAAATGACAAAAAACCATAGTCTAAAATTAAATTTGAAATTGTCACTACAGACAAGGAACCACGAGTGGGAAGATAATAATAATAATAATAATAATAATAATAATAATAATAATAATAATAAAACTATGTTTTTTACTTATTAGTGTCCTCTATTGGGAAGATACAAACAATAATGAAAAACATAATACATAGAATTTATAGAGGAAGAAAAAACTTGTAAAGTTTAGGAGGCAGAAAAAACTTGTAAAGTTTAGTAGACAGAAAACGCTTGTAGAGTTTAGGCATGAAAAAATATGATAATAAAGAAAAAAATCTATTGAATTTAGGTATAAGGTTTATAAAGTTTAAACAGGGAGAAAAAAAATAGATTTTAGATAGAGAGAGAAAATATTCAGGGTTGGTAGAAACTATATATATTTGATGGAGAAAATATATACAAAAGTCCTAAAAAAAACGTCGTATAAAAGTTCACAATTTTTTGAATACCATCCAATTTTTAAAGGCTTTTTAAAAGTTTTAATCGAATACTGCTCAACTTTTAAAGACTCTTTAAAAATCTTAATTGAGTACCGCCTGGCTTTTAAATACTCTCTAAAAGCTTGGAGGTAAATTTTGAATTGAATACCTTTAAACTTTAAAGACTATAAAAGTAATGATTAAATATATATTAGGGTCGAGTGATTGATTAGGGTCGAGTGATTGATTTCAACTATTTATATTTGATGGAGAAAATATATACAAAAGTCCTAAAAAAAACGTCGTATAAAAGTTCACAATTTTTTGATTGATAAAAGTTCGACCCTATAAAAGTTCACTATATATATTAGGGTCGAGTGATTGATTTCAACTATTTATATTTGATGGAGAAAATATATACAAAAGTCCTAAAAAAAACGTCGTATAAAAGTTCACAATTTTTTGAATACCATCCAATTTTTAAAGGCTTTTTAAAAGTTTTAATCGAATACTGCTCAACTTTTAAAGACTCTTTAAAAATCTTAATTGAGTACCGCCTGGCTTTTAAATACTCTCTAAAAGCTTGGAGGTAAATTTTGAATTGAATACCTTTAAACTTTAAAGACTATAAAAGTAATGATTAAATACATCTCCTAAGAGTCTCATGGATGACATTCAATTTAGATTTTTAAAGGGCCTTTAAAATTTCATTGTTATTCGATTAAAGATTTAAAGTTTATAAAAAAAATTTAAAGACTATGAAAGTAATGATTAAATACATCTCCAAAGAGTCTCGTGGATGACATTCAATTTAGAGTTTTAAAGGGTCTTTAAAATTTCATTGTTATTCGATTAAAATTCTAAAAGTCCCAAACGTTCATTTTTGTATTCGATTCAGAGTTTTGAAAAGTTTTTTTTTAAAGTATATGGATAGATATAAGTTAATTACTGAAATGGTCCATTAATTATAATAAAATTATCAATTTGGTCTTTGACTATTTTTTTGACCAATTAAGTCCCTGAACTTTAAAAATTTTAACCAGTTTGATCTTCTGTTTTTTTTTTTTTTTTTTGCCGTTAGACATCCGTTAACTCGGGACCAAATTGATAATTTACTGTTATAGTCAAGGGACCATTTTGGTCATCACATGTACCATTTCCTCCGAAAAGTTAATTATCGAAATAGTCCCTTAATTATAGCGAAATTACCAATTTGGTCCTAAGTTAACGGATGTCTAACGGTAAAACAAACGAAGGATCAAATTGGTTAAGATTTTTAAAGTTGAGGGACTTAATTAGTCAAAATAAAGTAGTCAATGACCAAATTGATAATTTTGTTATAGTCAAGGGAGCATTTAGGTAATTAACTCTATGGATATTTTAAAAAAATTATTGACTTTTATATAATCTATATCAAAGGGAAAATTGTTATTTATGCCCCTCCATAATATGCCAATTATCAATGTCACCCTTAAATTATTAGTGGTGTAAATGTTGCCCCTCAATTTTCAAAATGGTACATATATTGTCCCTCTCGTACCGTACGGGAGGGGCAATATATATGTACCCTTTTAAAAAATGAGGGGCAACATTTACACTACGGGAGGACACTATATGTATCGTTTTGAAAATTGAGGGGCAACATTTACACCACTAATAATTCAAAAGTGACATTGATAATTGACATATTTTGAAGGAGCATAAATTACAATTTTCTCATCTATCAATTTAAGAATTTTGTAGAATTTTTATACTCTAATATAAATAGTTGAAACTTGAAACCTCAGGCTTCAACTCTAACTATATCTCTCCAATTCTATATATAGACTTTCAAAGAAACTTGGCATTTTATGCCTAAACTCTATCAACTCATACTTTAAGAGATAATTTTTCTTGCCTTAATCCTACAAACTTTTTTTTTTTTTTTTTCCTTCCTAAACTCAAATAATAACTTGTTTTCTTATCTAAACTGTTTTTACAAACTTTTTTTTTTTTTTTAAATGTCTAAACTCTATAAACTATTTTCCCTATTTAAACTTTACAAACCTTTTTTGGTACCTAAACTCTATAAGCTTTTTCCCCTCCTAAACTCTACAGACTCTTTTTCCTTCCTAAATTTGAACTATTATCAAAAGTAAATAAATGATAAAATGCAGTCAAATTATTAACAATTAAAGTTAAACTTAAAAATACCACCATAATTCAATATTAAATTTATAATCTTTAAAAATATATACTGGCTAATTCATTTCAAAGATTTGAAATATAAGATGCCATCAGTAAATATTAGGAGGCAATCAGGCAATTCAAAGAATTAGGTCAAGTAATTTAAAAATATGCCATGGGCAAAATTATATTAGAATAAGCATTCAGACTTGAAATTAAAGAATATTTTTAGTTAGATCGATGTTAGTATATGCAATTAGTTTCGTAGAATTTAACAAGATTTATAGCTAGTTAAGGACTAGAACGGCAAATTTTACTATGGACCATGGTCCACGTAGACACTTTAGTTTCATTTGAGAACTATGTTTTTTTGTTTCATTTTTCAAACACGCTAGTCTCATTATAGCAATACTAAAGTATCATTTTAATTATATTACAGTTTCACGTAATAATAAACATTATTGAATGAGTTCTATGTTGTTAGTTTCATTTCGACACATGCTAGTTTAATTATAATAATGCTGAAATATTATTTTAATTACGTTTCAGATTCATTTGACAATATATGTTATTGTATGACTCTGAATTTTAATTTCATTTTCCATACACACTAGTTTCTTTATAGCAACATTAAAGTATCATTTTAATTATACTATAATTTCATTTGACAATATACGTTATTGAATGAACTCTATTTTTTAGTTTCATTTCCACACGCTAGTTTCATTATAACAACATTAAAGTATCATTTTAATTCTACTACAGTTTCATTCGATGATTATGGTCCAGACATCGCTGTACGGACCATGGTCCACTGTATAACAACTGGACTAGAGCCGAGTTTGGAAGAATATAATATAAATGACAACTTTTTATGCATACCTGATCTGATCTTAACTGAATTGAAGAGCCTTGCTGGGATTGGGAGGTTGAGGTTAATGTTATCTGAGTGCAAGTTGATAATCTCTCTCTGTTACTTATAGTGACAAATTTCAAGTTCAAATGATTGACGAAGTTGTTTGTGTGACGTCAACCATGAGAGCTCCATCAATATATAAACACTATAAAAATGACATGAAGATCAGAAAACTTTATCTTCAAGCAAAGTCTATATTAATTTTATTTATAATAACCTTTAAAAAAATAGTTTTTCGCCGGCCTTTATCTATTAACAAATTATTTGTCGAAAAAAAACTAATGCACAAGACAGCAGGAAAAATAAAATGCAACAACAGATCGAGTCAACAAGTTATTACAATATATACATAAATACAAAAGAACATTCAAGCCTGGAAACTGGCTAGAAATTACACATTGATGAAAGTAGTTGAACTACATAGTATATTTCAGGAAATAGACTTATGTAGTTGTTATTATATTCATGAATTGCCTTAAGCAACAAGCTAAGGAAATAACAATAAAGGTGATGAGTGTCAATTCTTGCTATTCTTATGTGCATATTTGACATTAATTTCATATGATTTTGTGCTAATTTGAAGCTAATTATATGTGTCTTTTTGATTCATTTGTTTCATTTAGGTCATTTGGAGACAATATTGTAAAATCAAATAAATTAGAGTTCGATTTGAAGTATTTTGAAGTCATGCATCTTGGCACGTACAAAGATGTGTTCGGGGGTCATGAGAAGTTAATGAAGTGAAAATGAACTGAGTGAGTTGAAATGATCGTGGGATGATCTAGACAAATTTCACAAGTCTATGGATATAGCTTTGCTACATGTTGATTGCATTTTTCTATTAATATCTCTTTCATTAAAAAAAAATCAATTTAAGTGATTCAAGTATCCATAGAAATCTAAGATGATCTTCTACAACTTTGGTGTTCAAAGTTTTCGAGATATATATATATATATATATATATATATATATATATATATATATATATATATATATATATATATATAGAGTTGCACTCGGGTGCGAACGGCTCGTCCAGGCACGAAATAGGAATGGATTCTGTCCGTCCACGTGTCCAGATCTAATGGATGAGAAACACTGATTTTTTAAAAAAATGCGGTGGCATTTTCGTAAATAATTGAACATCGAAGTGCAAGTAAAATGTATTACAAGTGCATGTAAAATGTATTATAGGTGCAAGTAAAAATTTACACTAAGCATCAATACTTAGTTGCACCTATAGTTCTAAGTAGTTGCACACATAGTTATAAGTAGTTGCACCCAGGTGTATGAATGTTTGCGAGTGATTTTCAGGGGTATTACTACCCGCTGAACTCAGATCAATGAATGTTAACAAGGCAAAATTACATTCACTTATAGGTGAAAGTATGTGCACCTATAGTTATAAGTAGTTGCACCTATAGTTATAAATAGTTGCACATAGAGTTATAAGCACACCCAAGTGCATGAATGTTTGCGGAAAGTGAATGCTAACAAGGCAAAATTACATGCACTTATAAGTGAAAGTAGGTGCACTTGTAAGTGATTTTACTTGCACTTCGATGTTCAATTATTTACGAAAATGCCACCGCATTTTTTTTTTAAGTTATTAGATATGGACACGTGTCGCGCGCTGATTCGTTCGCATTTCCCTCCTGAACACTTATTCGCACCTGAGTGCATCCCTATATATATATATATATATATATATATATATATATATATATATATATATATATATATATATATATATATAATAGAATTTTCATATGTTGCCTACTGATTCTTACTTAAGGTATTGGAGAGTAGAAATAACTTTTAACTTTTATATACTAAAAACATCAAGTTACTGCCTTATTGAATTTTTATAAAAATAACTTGAGAAATTTGATATTTTCTTGTATCTCAAAAGTTATGCATGGTTTGATTACTCTTGCATGTTGTTGCTTAGTAAGAGAAATCAAAAACTTTTAGAATAGTGCGTTTCACATGCATGAAGATGGTGAATCAAGTGTTCTTGTTTGTAGTGAATTTCTGGTTCTGTAATTTATACGAGACTAGGTTCCTAAGAAGTCATAGAGGGTTATTGAAATGCTCTTGGGCCTGGAGAACCTTGAAATAGGGGGTTGAAAAGTAGAAAAATAATGTTGCATGCTAAAGTGATTTCCATATAAAAAGGAGAATAAAATGTAAATTTCTTGATAGAATTGCAAATTAAAGAGTCATTTGCCATGTACAAAATAATAGAAAAATACAACCACAAACCCAACGAGTTTAATCAGATAAATGCAAACAACAACAGTACATGAGTGTACAACGTTGATGAACTCAGGACAAAAACACAAATCATGATGAAAGTACATAGAGTCGTTACTTCATTAGACGAACTGCCAAAATCAACAAGGGGACAACAATCAAGATAATAGAAATCACTTTCCATATATTGCGAGAGTAATAATAACTTCCTGTTTGGCTCAAACAACAGGACCAGTTATTGCGACAATGCTCATCCACATCCCTATACACCCATGCAAAATAGAAGTTGGTGGAAGTATCTACCTCAACACTGAGATTGTTGAAAATATAGGCCACCTTCCTATCTTCACCTAAGAGGTTTTGAATGATCCCATTCTTGCGAAGCAAACTCACGTCTCTATTGGTGTCCACCAAGTGGTCCATCAACCTCGCATAATCGGTGAAGTATTTGGGGTTTAGTCTCTCGCAACGTTGCTCCATGGCGATCATGTTTCGAAAGAATAGTTCAGTGAAGTTGTCGACTTTGAAACAAGGTATGCTCATTACCCCGTTATAGAAACTTATATCAAACAAGCTATTGCAACCGCGATATTTCAGTGGTGGGATTTTTTCATATTTCTTTGGCATATTGAAGACTTGCCCAATCTTCTCAAACCTAACTCCAACCTCTTTAAGCTCTGTGGCACTGTTCATATGGTTTAATTTTAGCCACACATTTTCTTCTTTCCCTTCTGTGGGTTGGGAAATTAGGGTTTGGGCATTTCTCGGAAGACAAAGAGTGTAGACCACATGGAGTAGATCCATGGGTTGTTGAGGTTTATTGTCATCATAAAAGTTATTAATGGTAAACTTCGGTGCTAAAGAGGCAAAAGCGAACTTCACCAGTCTTATGAAATTAGGAATTTTTTCTTCAGTATCGCCAATCATTTTCTTATAAATGGCAAAGAGGACCTCAAAAGGGAGTTGATTTTCGAACATAAGCATGTCCTCACGAGCTTTCTTCCCTTCGACGCTGTTGCGAGGATCACCATTGCCGCCTTCCTTGCATTTCAGAAGAAACTCAACCACAAAGCAACCATCAAGCACCAACATTTCTACCAACTCTTCATCGTTATGGGGATAGGTAATTCCAATTTCCTTGTAATAATTTCGGGCTTTGACCATCAATTTCATATCTGGATTCCTAAGGTATTCCCGATACTCTTCTTCTTCAGGTTGTTCCGTTGCCCTTTCGAGAAAAGACTTCATATACATATTCTTGTACTCCTTGTCCTTAACTTGATCAACTTCTTTAGAGTACTTGGGCCCAATGGATACCAAAGATGGTTTATAGAAGTTGCGCTTCAATGGATATTCTTGATAAGCAGCTGATATTTCTATTTCCTGTCGGTGAACACAAGAACCATTGATTATTTAATGAGGTAATTAAAAGTATATCTTACTATCCTATTTTATTTAGGCAATTTTTATTTTTAGTTTATTTGTCTATTACAAATTTACAATAAGTACGTATTTATACTATTTTTAAGGATTATTTATTCAAGTTCTAGTCTTTCATCTATTCTTTTCGTTTTTAATCCTTGAATTACAGATCAATTAGGTTTCTAAAAGTAATATACACTACTGGAAATTCTAAAATTTTCGACCACCTGAAAGTGATCTTAAATCAAGTTGAAAGCCTTGTTTCCGACCACTTTTGGTATCCGGAAAAACCTTTGCTGCTATTTCTGACCACTTTTTGCTTTCAATTTGATTTAATATCACTTTCAAGTGGTTGAAAATTCCATAATTTCCAGATATTTTGACTTTATAGTAATATATGCTTTACTACTTTAAAAATGTTATTCAAAAGTATTACCTTTGTGAACTTTTATTTGTTAAAAAGTGTAAAATTACCACAATGTAAATCTTGAATTATAATCTTGATGTCCTCGAAGAATAGATTCAGAATGCAAACCTTTCCATCATCAATTCCTTTGTTGCTCGTTTGATCATTTAAGTCGCCTATGTCCAAAGTAACCTCATATCGCTCCTCCTGCTCCTGTTCATGTAAGTGATATATTATAAGAGAGCATAGTTCATTAATTGTTAGGATTATCAAGTCCTACTTTATTTATTTATTTTTTATACTTGTGTAGCAGTTAACACCATGTTTCAATGGCAAGATACTGAACTTCTCTTCGAGCCGCCGCTGTTTGTTTCGAATTGTCGCACATAACCTTAAAAATGTTGTATGGTAATTATACCATATTCCATTGTTTGATTCAAGGGAATATATGAAATTACCAATGGGAATATGAGATTCTAAACTTTGTTTTTAGTCATTTTTTGGTAGCTTTCAAGGGGATTAAATTTTTCAAACATTTTTAGGTTATCTGGGATTTTCTATTAATGTTATATTCACCTTCTACTTTCGTGTGTCGTTAACTTCATGAGCCACAATAAAGTGGGGGACCGGATGTTGGATGAGATACTTGGGCCTGGATGATCGGCATAGAATGATTTATCAGTCTATCCAAACAAGTGTTTGATGAAGGTCCAAAATGTCCCTCAGGGGTGAAACGCTAATGATAGCTTAGAAGTAAAAAGTGAGCAAGACAACACTTAGGAACGAATTTTACAACTACCTTATAACTTAGAGACGAAAAGTTCAATTTTTCCAAAAATGTATTAATCACTCAAATGAATAGGTTTCTTTTATGTTAAAATCAAATAACAGAAAACATTGAAGCAATCCTGGTAGGCATGGTATATATGGAATTGTATAGTAGATTTCATACCTTTCCAGTGTCACTCAGTCCAAAAGGGGCCAGTCGGTCGACACTCATAGAAAGGTCAAAAGACTCATCTGCCATCCCACCTTTAAAGTAAAAATAGGAATATAAGTTACTGAAAACTGTATAAGAATAAGTTAACAGGTGGGGATTCCTGATACCGACACCACACACACGGTATTTAAATAAATTAACACCATAGAGTCATACTTGTATGAGACGGTCTCACGAATCCTTATTCGTGAATGGGTCGGGTCATGTGGGATCAACATGCAAATGTCATATTTATATGTATGTCCAAATGTAATACTAATCAAGAATAGAGTACTTGTTACTTATAAGAAAAAATGTAATACTTTAAGGTACATAATTTCGTAATATGATGTACAAAAACGCATAACACGATATACATACACATATTTTCTATTTTACTTATTCTCAGATCTGATTTATGTAAATAATTTATGTCATATAGGCACATAATTGCATAATACAAGACATAAATTCGTAAAATAAGACACATAATATGTTTTGTGTTATACAACTAATAATCAATTTCATGTACAAAATCTTTACGCTTAAGATACAGAATTTCGTAACATGATGTACAAAAAGGCGCATAACATGATATACATACACATGTTTTCAATTTGACTTATTCTCATATCTGATTTATGTAAATAATTTATGTCATATAGACACATAATTGCATAATACAAGAAATAAATTCGTAAAATAAGACATACAATATGTTTTGTGTTACGTTATACAACGACTAATCAATTTCATGTAAAGAATCTTTACGCTTAAGATACAAAATTTTATAACATAATGTACAGAAACGCACACCACGATATACATACACATACTTTACAGTAAAAAAAAAAAAAAAAAAAAAAAAAAATCTTTGTAACGCAAACTGAACAACAAACGTTTTCCATTAAAATTAAAGTTCAAAACGACATCGTATAGGACCAAGGTCCACGGTATAATAATTGCAAAACAGACGATTTGAATGATCAAATTGGTGACTCGGACCCAAGATTGGAGACCCGGGGCTAGCCTCTAAAGTCAGCCCCGGCCGGCTAGCGATTACCATCCCAGAATCCATCTCCGGGTCTGAAATGGTGGGTTTATATCTGTTCTTGCGGCCCACCGCGTGGGCTTCGACGCGATCCCGCAGCCCACCAAGATTTTAGATAGTCTGTTGTGTTTTCCTTTTATAAATGGGCCCTATCCTAAGGCTAGACAATCTTGTAATCGTTATGCTATGGACCCGTGTCCAGCATGCATTGCGGACACGGTAACGGTGCCGTTAGTGGCATCGCTATCTTCCACCATTTTTTTTTAAATTTCAGACCGCTTTGTTATAGGAGCATATGTTCATAATTTTATTACTATGTTCATAATTGTAAGTTCATAATGCCAGAGCTCTGTGTTCATAATTCCATAACTGTACATTCATAATTGCATAACTGTACATTCATAATTCCATAACTGTACATTCATAATTTCGTAACTGTACATTCATAATTCAATAACTGTAAATTCATAATTTTCGAAGCTCTATGTTCACAATTTTAGAGCTCTATGTTCATAATTTTATCACTATATGTTCATAATTGTAAGTTCATGATGTCAGAGCTTTGTGTTCATAATTTCATAACTTACATTCATAATTTCATAACTGTACATTCATAATTTCATAACGGTACATTCATAATTCCACAAACGAATAACGCCGTTAACACCGTTAACGAGTAACGACGAGACATAATAATTTATTTTTTAACTGAAATGTCGCGTTTTTCCTGAAAACGACGTCGTTTTGGACTCGTGTCCACGATGCATTGTGAACACAAGTCCACAGCATAATTTGCGATAATCTTGTCCAAATCACTACAAAGCATTCTGTGTAATATTATAACATCTATGAATGAAATATCATTACAATATTTTTCCTCACTATTTTATTGATTCATACATACTAGGGGTGCAGTCAATTTATTCCATTATTATTATTTTTTAATTGAAAATGTCAAAATATCACATATAACAAATAATAATAAATAAATAAATAACTTATAACTTTTTAGCCAAGCGTAATACTTTTAAAGCAATAACTTTTCAATTAAAAACTAAATACTTGTAAATATGTAGGGAATAACATATTTAAAGAAAAACATATCAATTTTATTGCATGAGTTTTATTTTTTTTAGTTTCATTTTTGACACACACTAATTTAATTATAATAATACTGAAATATTATTTTAATTAAACTTCAGATTCATTTGACAATATATGTTATTGTATGGCTCTGAATTTTAGTTTCTTTTTTTCCACACACTTTTCATTATAGTAATACTAAAGGTTCATTTTAATTATACTATAATTTCATTTGACAATATACGTTATTGAATGAACTCTGTTTTTTAGTTTCATTTTCCACACACTAGTTTCATTATAACAACATTAAAATATCATTTTAATTCTACTACACTTTCATTCAACAGTTATGGTCCACACAACACTGTATGAACCAAGATCCACTGTATAACAATTGGACTAGAGCCGAGTTTGGAGAAAATAATATAAATGACAACTTTTTATGCATACCTGATCTGATATTATCTGAAGAGCCTTGCTGGGATTGGGAGATTGAGGTTAATGTTATCGGAGTGCAAGTTGATAATAATATCTCTCGACTCTCTGTTACTTATAGTGACAAATTCCAAGTTCATATGGTTTACCAAGTTGTTTGTGTGACGTCAACCATGAGAGCTCCGTCAATAAACACTATAAAAATGACATGAAGACAACTTTATTATCTTCAAGCATAGTCTTTAACTATATTAATTTTATTATAACCTTTAAAAAAATGATTTTTCGCCGGCACTTATTATCTATTAATTAACAAATTATTTGTCGCACAGAAAGTAATGCACAAGACAGCAGGAAAAAAAATGCAACAACAGATGGATAAGAGTGGGAAACTGAGAAATTGCATTAAGAATCAAACTGTAACATAACTATACGGAGAATATAAATACTACACTACAACAAGAGATATAATAAAAGTATAACTCCTAGAGTCTTAATACATCCCCTCAAGCACAAGGTTGGAGAGACACAATATTGAACTTGTCACGCATAAATTCAAATCGCGGACCTGGTAATGGTTTGGTGAATATGTCTGCAATATGTTCCTTTGTAGATATGAAATTAACATGTAGTTCCCCAGAGACTACCTTGTCACACATAAAGTGAAAATCAATTTCTACGTGCTTAGTCTGTACATAAAAGACAAGATTATATTAGCACAGAGATACGTAGCACCTAAATTATCATACCACAAACGAGGAGCACTGCTAGGAGGGAAACAAATTTCACGCAATAAAGATACAATCCAAGTTACCTCAGCAGAAATGTCTCAATCACCTTATACTCAGCCTCAGTGGACAGACAAGCAACAGTCCTCTACTTCTGGTAAACTCACGAAACCAAATTAGAACCAAATAAAGTAAATAGCAAAACCACTGGTGGACTTTCTATCAACAGAACAACTAGCCCAGTCGGAATCCGAGAGCATATGCAAGTCAGTGGACAACGAAAGAGCCAGCCGTAACCCATAGTGTAGCGTACCCTTCGCATAATGCAACATACGGTTGAGCAGCCCCCAATGCTCAACTATAGGCGAATGCATGAACTGGCACAACCGATTGACAACATAGGACAAATCAGCATTGTAAGGCGTGCAATAGTATGAATTATTGAAAATTTGCCCTCAAATATTTCCATTAATTTTTTTTTTGTCTTACTCCATATTTGACAATTAGCAATTAATTTGACCAGCCAATAATATAACGTGTAAAATGACATTTAAAGATATGAGTATAGTCTATAATAATAATAATATATTAATTATATAATAATTACTGTATGTTAGGAATAAAGTTCTTTAGTTTTTTATGATGCTATTATGTGTAAAATCAAAGAACTTAGAGAATCTCTAAGTTTATTGCATGTGATGGACATCGTACTAGGCCTAGGTCACACGGATTGGCCTAAGACACATCAAGAAAGTTCAAGAAGAATACCCAATACGAGTAGCTTAGGAATTGGATTAAGCTTATTATTCATAATGTAATAAGGAATGTGTTCATTATTTCTAATGTAATAACGATTTGGCTCATTAATATTCCTAATGTAATAGTAGTATTCCTAATCTTAGGAATAGTATTTATTATTCCTAATGTAACAATAATTCCTAATATGAAACAATCTAAGATTTTTATTTCTCGTAAAATTTTAAGTCTAAAATATGTATAAATAGATCTCGTAGAAAGAAGGGGCAATCTTCATTATTTGTAGACAATTCTTAATAATACAAAAATATTAATTTTCTTTCTAAATTCTCTGCATATTATTTCTATATTTTTCACATATACTAATTATTGTAACGATAGTATTGGTAATATCCAAAACTCATTCAACCAACATCCAAGCGACATGAGCGGAAAAGCCAGAAATTTCCGCCGCCGCGGCGGAGACGACGGAGATGAAACGCCGGCGGTCATCGCAGCTAATGGCAACTCCACACAATCCCAAGCCAAACCCGCCGCCAGTTCCGGCGAGCCGGAAAAATCTTCAACGCTAGCTCCCAAGAGCCTCCTTAGCTTTGCAGATAATGACGAAGAAGCCGAAAATGGTTCAAATGCTAATATCTCAATTTCACAGCAAGCTGAGCTTGCCAAGAAAGCTTTGCATGAGAATCTATGTAGGCTTAAGGAATCCCATGCCCGGACTGTGGCATCCTTATCCAAGATTGAAGAAAATTTGTCTTCTTCATTGTCAAATGTCACTACTTTGCAAAATTCTTTAGCTGCTGCTGCTGAAAACTACATCTTTCTGCAAAACCTCCGCCGCTTTAATTTGTTTCTGTTATATGTTCATTCAAGTTCTAGTAGTCTTTCATATATTCTTTTCGTTTTTTTATCTTTGAATTACATATCAATTCAATTAGATCTAGATGTCCTTGAAGAATAGATTCAAAATGCAAACCTTTCCATTATTAATTCCTCTGTTGCTCGTTTGATCATTTAAGTTGCCTATGTCCAAAGCAACCTCATATCGCTCCTCCTGCCCCTGTGTTCATGTTCATGTTCATGTTCATGTAAGTGATATATTATAAGGGGTATACTTCTGGTAGAATTAAGCGCTTACTATTACACTAAACACTATAATTAGTAGTGAATGTACAATTTTATTTCCTTATACTTGCGTAGCAGTTAATGTTACGTTTCGATGGGAGGATACTAGACTCGGCTCTCCGAGTTATTGAAGTGCAACCTACTATAAAATCGATGGTTGTTGCACATTGGATAAAGATTATTTAAAATTTGTTTTCCTTTAATAGACAAATTTAAATGTGTCTATAAATACAACGGTTCAAAGATGAATGAGGTGCTAGTCATTTTTAAGTAAAGCATACAAGAGTGCAATCAAGTGTTCAAGCAATTTAGAATCTCTAGTTCCTATTGTATGTGATGCATGACGGCAAATTAATTATGCTATGGAACGGTGTCCATCTTGCAAGGTAGACAAGGTTTCAAAATTGTTATAAATGTGAATATAGAGTTCAAAAATTATGAACATAAAATTATAATTATGAACATAGAGCTCTGTAATTGTAAATATAGAGTTCAATAATTGTGAATATGAAGTTAAAAATTTATGAATATAGAGTTCAGTAATTATGAATATAGAGTTCAATAATTGTGAATACGAAGTTCAAAAATTAGGAACATAGGGTTTTATAATTATGAACATAGAGTTCAGTAATTATGAACATAGAACAAGGTAGACACGGTTCCACGGCATAACAATTGATGGATGGAGTACTAGGCTTGGACCACACGGATTGACCCATGAAAGTAACTGAATCAAGGAAGCCTGATGCACAGCACGGAGCAACTTAGGAGTTTAATAATGAGTGAACTTATTATTCATAATGTAAAAAGGATTGAACTCATTATTTCTAATGTAATAAGACTAGTGTTTATTATTTCTAAAATAAAATATCTTTTTTAGTCCCTCGACTACAATACATGTATTAATTTTGGTCCTTAACTTTTAAAATTTTCAAATGAGTAAATATCACTTTTGGTCCCTTGACTATCATAGCTGAAGCACTTTTGGTCCTTGACTATTGCTTTTCTCAAAGAGGAAATTTCAATTTTGATCCTATGACTATAGGGGTCTTGTTAATTTCAATTCCCGACTTTCAAAAGTGTCAATTTAATACCTTGACGATGCAATTTTTGTCAATTTTGGTGACTCCGGCCAAATTGTCGGTCAAATTTCGCCGAAAAATTTTTATAGTTAAAATAATGAGGGCATTTTAGTCTTTTTGCATCTCATTTCTTTCTCCCCCATTTTTCGCTGGATCTACTGCAAATTTTGCTGGAAAAGACACTCACCAGCGTCGATTCTCTAGAGGGTCCAATCGCGACCCGAGCATCGTCGGACCCAGTTCGAGACCTTTTTCTGGTTCGCGGACTTGGACGATGATATCATGCTCGACGCCGTCGTAGGAGACTTCAACCACTACGCCCTTGCCGACATTGCCATGCATCCGGCCAACTTGACCATAAGTCGGCGACCCATTTTCGCAGCGTTTCCGTTGACTCCGACTTCTTCGATGGTCTGGAGTTTAGTGCTTTGTCGGTTGTCGACGACGAAGCAACCACCCCGCTCTTGTCGGAGAAGATGACGATGGGTCCAAGCCCAGGCTACATGCACAATAGCTCGATGAATGGGTCTTTCGCTACGGCGTCGTTCGAGGTCGATTCCATCTCACCCCCCATCGTCACAGCAAATAAAGTCACCGATAGCTTGCTTGTAGAGTTAATAAACCAAAAACCCTTCACGTATTACACAAAATTTCACTATAAAAACCTTGAATTTCCACTATTTCTTCCTCTTTTTTCTTGTGATTTGACGCCGGGATACCAGAAATCGATGCCGGTATGTCTTCTCTAGCGAAATTTGAAACAAAATCCGGTGAAGAAATGGGGGAGAAATAAAAGAGATGCAAAAAGACTAAAATACCCTCATTATTTTAACTATAAAAGTTTTTCGACGAAATTTGGTTAGCAATTTGGCTGGAGTGACCAAAATTGACAAAAATGACATAGTTAAGGTACTAAATAGACACTTTAGAAAGTCAGGGACTGAAATTAACAAGACCCCTATAGTCATAGGACCAAAATTGAGATTTTCTCATTCTCTAATTAGGTGCATGACTTTCTAACTATTATCACTTTTGGTCATCTGGTCTAATTTTCCGGCCACATATTACCAGAATTCCAACCGAAAAAATAATATGTTATAATTAGAAGGGTATTTTGATCCTTTTAAATTTATTTCAATTTTCTCTTTTATTTGTTTTTCTTCTTCCCGCTTTCTTCCGGGCGGACTATTCAATTTATATCACATTTGGTCCTTGACTATTAAGATTTTCAAATTAAGTGCATGATTATTCAATTTGTATTACATTTAGTCCTGTCGTTAAATTTTTCGGCCAAAGTCACCGGCAACCGAGTAATTTATTTAATTTATATTTTAAAATTATTTTAATAATTTTTAAATTAAAAACTTTAAAATAAAATTAATAAAAAAAAGGTCAATCACCCCTCACCCTCCTTCTTCGTCCCCCCGCCCCTCACCCCTTCTTCCTTCGTCTTC